CAAGGACTCATCCAAGCAGTCACTGCAGAGTTGGTAACGACTGAGCGCAGATTAAAAAAAAAACAAAAACCATATTTCACTAATTTAGTAATAAAGTAGTAGAAAATAATGCAGAAAATAAAACAGACCTAATATTCAGAAAATGTGACCAGTTGACAATAAAATTAATGATATCTGCTTATTTGCTATTAAAATTATGCTAATTTTCATTCAAATGCATATAAGATTTAGACACATAAAAAAACAAGAACAGAGTCTTAAAGCACCTTGGCACAAATATATATGGCATAAGGTTTCAGGGACTACAGCCCATAAATTGCATGAAATGGTATCATTAATTAGCAATAAAGCATATATATACAGATCTAGAGAATAGCAATAATATACAACTACAATAATTGTATCATATTTACAGAAGTAATTATGATTCTCATGGTAAATGTTCTTTCAATAACCATAATGCATCCAGAAATCCAAAGAATTAGAGCACAGACTTTGTTTTACATAATGATCCAAAGTATAAATAGTTCGTGAACTGCTAGCCTCATAGTCCCCCTAGATATTCAGTCATACCTTAACAGAATTTAAAGCACCATTCAACGGAGAACAGTCTGAGGCCATACTGGGACGGATTAAGGTTTGAAATTCTGCATTTTGAACAAATTCTGAATTGTCTACCTTTCATTTCTTATTGTCAGAGAATATTTTAAAATGCAGTTTATTATAAACCATAACGAGAAGCCTCAAATTGTCTTTTCTCCCATGCAAAGAAAGTGCGTGCAAGTCTAAGGCTTGCTGAGCTTATATACAAATCAACAAGCCAACTACAGATTAAACATCAGAATCCTCAGAAATTTAACATTCTTTAATGGATCACACACAAACCAGTCCCTAGAATAGTGAATCTCAAACACTACATGATGTGCAGATAAGTCCTAAGATACGATAGCTTGTTAAGCAAGGTTGTATTCTGAAATTTTATGAATTCTTTGTGAGCTCATTATTTTGAGCAAACACTATTCACTTCATTACACTGAGTTTTCTTCGTATTGCAACCAAAGCGTGAATGGTAGATATTACAGAATAAGTTAATAGGCAGATAATGAAGTTATAAGTGCAATAAGTTGCACCGGAGATGGAATTTGAAAGGAATGCATGTGCAAGGCTACGTCAACAAACAAGAAATTCCAAGGAAAGATATGAAGGGATGGAGAATTTTTGAGACGATTTCTCTGATGAGATTCTTGCAATTCCTATATTCATGGAAGAGCCATGGAACAGCCAGATGAACATCTGTCAGACCTTGATAAATGATTAGGACATTTAAATAACCATCAATTGTCAACCCTTTGAGGTAGACCAGATCAGGAAACAAACACCACAAGAAATACTAGAACCCCATTTTATTGATATAAATGATAGCTTCTTGAAAGCCTGAGAGTGTTTCTCTTTCCCTCCCTCTTATACCAAAGAGGGTCAAGGCTGGGCAATCTTGAGTTTCTTTCTCATGCCTTCCTGTTTTCCTTGGCTAAATTCGTTTTTCTTAATGGCTCCCATATATTTTCTTGAAGGCCATCTCCATTCACCTCTATATCAATAAAGCTGAGGTAATTTAACACTGCATTTAAGAGAGATCTGGGGGTGGGGGAGGAAGAGAAGTTCAAAGCCCCCCCTTCCACTCCATCAAGGTTCATCTCAAAAACTTCTTCCTGACACCCTTCTGTTGCCTGGCCAATGACAAGAAGGAGTGCTTGCTATGTATAATCTGAATGAAGGTGAGTGAATATGAGATGCTTATATTGCTAAAATAAAATGTTTAAAATATACTGGTTGTCTCCTGAGATTGCTGATCTTGTTCTGGTTACACATAAAAGATTCCTAATTCCACAACAGAGAGCAAGCCTCTTGTAACATAGACACCAGAATTACTAACAGAATCAGTAATATAATACTATACCTTTGGCAATCTTCTCTGCTGAATAAGGTGCTCTAAATTAATTCTGCATTGCTTCTTTCATTGTTATATAACTGGAGCAACTGAGGATGAATATACATTGATTGGTACACTTATATAAGAATGAACCACTAATGCTTTAATCACAGTCTGATGAACTGAGAAGTAAATCTATACAACTGAGCAACTGACTATTAAAGACAGCAGACTGATATAGAATTAGAAAAACCATGAACTCTGAATCCAGCTAATGCTCTTGCTAACCTGGCATTTTTTCATAGAATTTTCTGTATCAGGGCAACTGGCATGAAATTAGAGACATTAAAACCAACATCATAGGTATGCAATAAGAAAAACAAAGCCAACAAGAGAAAAATACAGTGCAAAGACAGCCAAACAAATGGGTGGGGAGGAAGAATTAAGTACCTATAGCTCAACACAAAAAAGAAAGAAGTGAAAACTCGAACATTCAATTTTGTTCAAGATAACCAAGATGCAAAAGTTCTGGAAGAAAAAGTAATAAAAAGGGGGACTCATCCTTATGATCAAAAGAAAACTATGTTGGTGCCCGGAGAATTTCCATTGGGAATGTGTTCTAAAACTAGAGGTTTACTACTGAGAAAGATCTATCTTGCAAAATCAGCTTCTTTGAATAAAGACGTGTTCTGTTCTGTTTCTTTTAAACATGACCTTAAAGTAGGTAGGGATAAGTTTCTTGTGACCTGAAGCCACATTTACTTGCCCTTCCTTCCTTCCTTCCTTCCCTCCCTCCCTCCCTCCCTCCCTC